ATGGATGTTGGCAGACACATAATGGTGTAAACACACTATCATCTTCTCTCTTAACAGTTTTTTTTTTTTTTTTTTTTTTAGGATGGTTGATCCGGAGATGTCGGCGATGTCAGTGCTGTTCGTCACCTCTAGACACCCACGGTTGTTGACACTCTTGTGGTATGTTGTAGGATGGATGTGCCGGAGATGTCGGCGGTGCCAGTGCTGGTCGTCACCTCTAGACACCCACGGTTGTAGACACATCACTTGACACTCTTGTGGTGTGTTGTAGGATGGATGTGCCGGAGATGTCGGTGGTACCAGTGCTGGTCGTCACCTCTAGACACCCACTGTTGTAGACACATCACTTGACACTCTTGTGGTGTGTTTTAGGATGGATGTGCCGGAGATGTCAGCGGTGCCAGTGCTGGTCGTCACCTCTAGACACCCACTGTTGTAGCCACACTACTTGACACTCTTGTGGTGTGTTAAAGGATGGATGTGCCGGAGATGTCGGCGGTGCCAGTACTGGTCGTCTCCTCTAGACACCCACGGTTGTAGACACATTACTTGACACTCTTGTGGTGTATTGTAGGATGGATGTGCCGGAGATGTCGGCGGTGCCAGTGCTGGTCGTCACCTCTAGACACCCACCGTTGTAGACACATTACTTGACATTCTTGTGGTGTGTTGTAGGATGGATGTGCCGGAGATGTCGGCGGTGCCAGTGCTGGTCGTCACCTCTAGACACCCACTGTTGTAGACACATCACTTGACACTCTTGTGGTGTGTTGTAGGATGGATGTGCCGGAGATGTCGGTGGTTCCAGTGCTGGTCGTCACCTCTAGACACCCACTGTTGTAGATACATCACTTGACACTCTTGTGGTGTGTTTTAGGATGGATGTGCCGGAGATGTCGGCGGTGCCAGTGCTGGTCGTCACCTCTAGACACCCACTGTTGTAGCCACACTACTTGACACTCTTGTGGTGTGTTAAAGGATGGATGTGCCGGAGATGTCGGCGGTGCCAGTACTGGTCGTCCCCTCTAGACACCCACGGTTGTAGACACATTACTTGACACTCTTGTGGTGTATTGTAGGATGGATGTGCCGGAGATGTCGGCGGTGCCAGTGCTGGTCGTCACCTCTAGACTCCCACTGTTGTAGACACATTACTTGACATTCTTGTGGTGTGTTGTAGGATGGATGTGCCGGAGATGTCGGCGGTGCCAGTGCTGGTCGTCACCTCTAGACACCCACTGTTGTAGACACATCACTTGACACTCTTGTGGTGTGTTGTAGGATGGATGTGCCGGAGATGTCGGTGGTTCCAGTGCTGTTCGTCTCCTCTAGACACCCACTGTTGTAGACACATTACTTGACACTCTTGTGGTGTGTTTTAGGATGGATGTGCCGGAGATGTCGGCGGTGTCAGTGCTGTTCGTCACCTCTAGACACCCACTGTTGTAGACACATTACTTGACACTCTTGTGGTGTATTGTAGGATGGATGTGCCGGAGATGTCGGCGGTGCCAATGCTGGTCGTCACCTCTAGACATCCACTGTTGTAGACACATTACTTGACACTCTTGTGGTGTGTTGTAGGATGGATGTGCCGGAGATGTCGGTGGTGCCAGTGCTGGTCGTCACCTCTAGACACCCACTGTTGTAGACACATTACTTGACACTCTTGTGGTGTGTTTTAGGATGGATGTGCCGGAGATGTCGGCGGTGTCAGTGCTGTTCGTCACCTCTAGACACCCACTGTTGTAGACACATTACTTGACACTCTTGTGGTGTATTGTAGGATGGATGTGCCGGAGATGTCGGCGGTGCCAATGCTGGTCGTCACCTCTAGACACCCACTGTTGTAGACACATTACTTGACACTCTTGTGGTGTGTTGTAGGATGGATGTGCCGGAGATGTCGGCGGTGCCAATGCTGTTCGTCACCTCTAGACATCCACTGTTGTAGACACATTACTTGACACTCTTGTGGTGTGTTGTAGGATGGATGTGCCGGAGATGTCGGCGGTGCCAATGCTGTTCGTCACCTCTAGACATCCACTGTTGTAGACACATTACTTGACACTCTTGTGGTGTGTTGTAGGATGGAGATGTCGGTGGTTCCAGTGCTGGTCGTCTCCTCTAGACACCCACGGTTGTAGACACATTACTTGACACTCTTGTGGTGTGTTGTAGGATGGATGTGCCGGAGATGTCAGCGGTGCCAATGCTGTTCGTCACCTCTAGACACCCACTGTTGTAGACACATTACTTGACACTCTTGTGGTGTGTTGTAGGATGGATGTGCCGTAGATGTCGGTGGTGCCAGTGCTGGTCGTCACCTCTAGACATCCACTGTTGTAGACACATTACTTGACACTCTTGTGGTGTGTTGTAGGATGGATGTGCCGGAGATGTCGGCGGTGCCAGTGCTGGTCGTCACCTCTAGACACCCACTGTTGTAGCCACACTACTTGACACTCTTGTGGTGTGTTAAAGGATGGATGTGCCGGAGATGTCGGCGGTGCCAGTACTGGTCGTCCCCTCTAGACACCCACGGTTGTAGACACATTACTTGACACTCTTGTGGTGTATTGTAGGATGGATGTGCCGGAGATGTCGGCGGTGCCAGTGCTGGTCGTCACCTCTAGACTCCCACTGTTGTAGACACATTACTTGACATTCTTGTGGTGTGTTGTAGGATGGATGTGCCGGAGATGTCGGCGTTGCCAGTGCTGGTCGTCACCTCTAGACACCCACTGTTGTAGACACATCACTTGACACTCTTGTGGTGTGTTGTAGGATGGACGTGCCGGAGATGTCGGTGGTTCCAGTGCTGTTCGTCTCCTCTAGACACCCACTGTTGTAGACACATTACTTGACACTCTTGTGGTGTGTTTTAGGATGGATGTGCCGGAGATGTCGGCGGTGTCAGTGCTGTTCGTCACCTCTAGACACCCACTGTTGTAGACACATTACTTGACACTCTTGTGGTGTATTGTAGGATGGATGTGCCGGAGATGTCGGCGGTGCCAATGCTGGTCGTCACCTCTAGACATCCACTGTTGTAGACACATTACTTGACACTCTTGTGGTGTGTTGTAGGATGGATGTGCCGGAGATGTCGGTGGTGCCAGTGCTGGTCGTCACCTCTAGACACCCACTGTTGTAGACACATTACTTGACACTCTTGTGGTGTGTTTTAGGATGGATGTGCCGGAGATGTCGGCGGTGTCAGTGCTGTTCGTCACCTCTAGACACCCACTGTTGTAGACACATTACTTGACACTCTTGTGGTGTATTGTAGGATGGATGTGCCGGAGATGTCGGCGGTGCCAATGCTGGTCGTCACCTCTAGACACCCACTGTTGTAGACACATTACTTGACACTCTTGTGGTGTGTTGTAGGATGGATGTGCCGGAGATGTCGGCGGTGCCAATGCTGTTCGTCACCTCTAGACATCCACTGTTGTAGACACATTACTTGACACTCTTGTGGTGTGTTGTAGGATGGATGTGCCGGAGATGTCGGCGGTGCCAATGCTGTTCGTCACCTCTAGACATCCACTGTTGTAGACACATTACTTGACACTCTTGTGGTGTGTTGTAGGATGGAGATGTCGGTGGTTCCAGTGCTGGTCGTCTCCTCTAGACACCCACGGTTGTAGACACATTACTTGACACTCTTGTGGTGTGTTGTAGGATGGATGTGCCGGAGATGTCGGCGGTGCCAGTGCTGGTCGTCTCCTCTAGACACCCACGGTTGTAGACACATAACTTGACACTCTTGTGGTGTGTTGTAGGATGGATGTGCCGGAGATGTCGGCGGTGCCAGTGCTGGTCGTCTCCTCTAGACACCCACGGTTGTAGACACATTACTTGACACTCTTGTGGTGTGTTGTAGGATGGATGTGCCGGAGATGTCAGCGGTGCCAATGCTGTTCGTCACCTCTAGACACCCACTGTTGTAGACACATTACTTGACACTCTTGTGGTGTGTTGTAGGATGGATGTGCCGTAGATGTCGGTGGTGCCAGTGCTGGTCGTCACCTCTAGACATCCACTGTTGTAGACACATTACTTGACACTCTTGTGGTGTGTTGTAGGATGGATGTGCCGGAGATGTCGGCGGTGCCAATGCTGGTCGTCACCTCTAGACACCCACTGTTGTAGACACATTACTTGACACTCTTGTAGTGTGTTGTAGGATGGATGAGCCGGAGATGTTGGCGGTGCCAGTGCTGGTCGTCACCTCTAGACACCCACTGTTGTAGACACATTACTTGACACTCTTGTGGTGTGTTGTAGGATGGATGTGCCGGAGATGTCGGTGGTGCCAGTGCTGGTCGTCACCTCTAGACATCCACTGTTGTAGACACATTACTTGACACTCTTGTGGTGTGTTGTAGGATGGATGTGCCGGAGATGTCGGCGGTGCCAATGCTGGTCGTCACCTCTAGACACCCACTGTTGTAGACACATTACTTGACACTCTTGTAGTGTGTTGTAGGATGGATGTGCCGGAGATGTTGGCGGTGTCAGTGCTGGTCGTCACCTCTAGACATCCACTGTTGTAGACACATTACTTGACACTCTTGTGGTGTGTTGTAGGATGGATGAGCCGGAGATGTCGGTGGTTCCAGTGTTGGTCGTCACCTCTAGACATCCACTGTTGTAGACACATTACTTGACACTCTTGTGGTGTGTTGTAGGATGGATGTGCCGGAGATGTCGGCGGTTCCAGTGCTGGTCGTCACCTCTAGACACCCACTGTTGTAGACACATTACTTGACACTCTTGTGGTGTGTTGTAGGATGGATGTGCCGGAGATGTCGGCGGTGTCAGTGCTGGTCGTCTCCTCTAGACACCCACGGTTGTAGACACATTACTTGACACTCTTGTGGTGTGTTGTAGGATAGATGAGCCGGAGATGTCGGTGGTGCCAGTGCTGGTCGTCTCCTCTAGACACCCACTGTTGTAGACACATTACTTGACACTCTTGTGGTGTGTTTTAGGATGGATGTGCCGGAGATGTCGGCGGTGCCAGTGCTGGTCGTCACCTCCGAGACCCCCACGGACTCACCAACAGTGGAGGAGGCGGCGATCGCTTGCACCTTCGAGGCAATGGATACTTTGTGCATCCCCGGCAGATACAACCGCCAAGACTCTTACAGGTAACAGATGTAAACTTTCTATACTGCCAGAGAAGGTGCGGAGGAAATTTGGTTATGGGACGACCGCGTTCTTTAGGCTAGTATTTTTTGCTGGAAATATACTTGTGGCGAGTAAGGAATATCCCGAGTTGCGAGCACTGTGTGGAATTCTAATCGCACAGGGCATTCCTTTCACTTTCCTCTACCGTAAGAGCTGTATTACATGATGGCAAAGGTGTTTGACTTTACGCTTGACACTAGCGACTAGTGCTAGACACCACTTAAGAGTAAAGTTCACACGATTCCTTTGAATGGTTTTCTCTTACGTCGTTGTGATGAGTCTTAGTAGTTTTCTTTAATCGCAAAACTGTTACTGTATTGGTAAATAAGTGTTACTTTAATAAGATTATAATCTAATTTTTGTCCAAGGTTGGACATTTTCATGTGGTTTAGTCCGTTTAAGCTACGCTGCTCGAAACTATCAATGCATATTTTTCAAGAGATGCAATCCATGACTACGGTACAAGAAAGTGAGGCAAAGTAGACATAACCTAAAATTTGGCTGACAAAAACACAAAAATGTGTTACCACTATGACCATCTGCATCTACAAAGCATTGAGTTACAAATTATTGGTTCTAGAGTAGTTAGGATTAGTTAATCCTTGCAGAAGTGTTTTCAATGAAAAAAACTATCCCTACAACAAACAACCATGAGACAGAAATTGATTTGTTTTGATGCTGCGTCTTACTTTTTACCTTATTATTTTTGTTGTCGAGTGAGATATACGTTTTCGCAATGAATTATTACCGTCCACTTTTCATTTTTGCTATGGATGCATTGTACTTAAACACATTCTAGCTGATCCAATAACCTTGACAGTTAGAAAAAATATGTATTTTAATTTAATACAGATAAACAAGTACAATCTTTTGAGGACATAACTGTTTGCTGCATATTTATATTTTCTAACAAACAATCTCGTATTGTTAAGATTATTAAATTTGTTTCACATAAATAACTGAGTCTTGTTCTTCTCTCCAATCAAAGCATTGCTTGAAATCTGTCTCGGCAATTAATTAGCATTTTCACTTAACTGTTCAGTGACAAATAGAAGAGGAACTTCAACTGTCTCATTCATTTATCTGACAGAGTTTAGACTTGTATTAGAAATGTGTCACTTAGAAAACAAATAATCTGGCATTTTACGTAGTATGTTTACCCTATCTAGAATTTTCTTAGACTTTTAAAATACAAACTAAAATTTAAATTTAAAATGTAATATTTAAAAAAATTAAAATTTAATAATTATTTAAAAACCTCAAATAAAATTTTAAATGCAACATTTTTTATGATTACTCAAACTACTTATAATAATAGTATGAAACGAGGGGGCCTTTTTACAGGGTTTAAAACTTTCCAAAGCATAAAAAATCCAATCGTAACTCTTTACTTTTAAGGAATAGGTTTTTTAACAGAGTTATTAAAACACAAAACTCACAAAACTCGTGTTTTAGTTAGAGTTAGAGATTTTTTTTTGTCTTATACCTGAGTGATTTACCTACCTCAAAAAGGTTACAATCTTACATTACCAATATTATACTTGGATGACAGTTCGTGATGAGAAACTTCCCCAGAAAGTTTATTTTCGAAAACTCCTCTCCTAACGGGGGCGTTCGTTAAATAAAGTATTGAATTAAATAACATTTACAAATACTTAAGATGCGACAGCTGTTATATTTGTTTTGTTTATAGTTGATTGTACTTTTCCCCCTATTCAACCTTCTGATTATTTCTGTTGGTGGCGGAATTAAACTTATTTGGTAAAATGGGTGTGGTGTGGTGCTACCTTGTACAGATGTTTTCAAGACGAGCGGGGTTCCTTGGTAGCAGCGTGTAGCGTGGATCTGGCGTCTCGTTTGGTTCACATGTAGCCCCAGCACAGTTTCTTTCAATCAATGTAATGTAATAAAAATCGAGGCTCTGCTTTCAATTTACATAATTCTTTTGGCATTTTGTTTGATACTGAAGATGAGTTGCGCTAACGAACGTTATGCAACTCCAAAAGTGCTATAAAAGCCACATATCCTTCTTAAAACCGCTAGTGAATTAACAGTTTTTTTTTAGAAAATTTTGTGTATAGGTATAAAATAACGGGTATTTTTGAATATCAAATAGTTATAAAGTATTAACGACTAATTTAAATAACATATTTACCATTTAAATTAGGACGAGCATGTTTCTTGACTTAGACAAAATTATCGGCTTATGTGATTCAATTTAAGACTTTAATATTATGCAGGATGAATCTTAATTTATTTTGGATTAACTGCCTTGTAAATTAAAGTTTTTTAGGCGTGTTCCTTACGACGAGAAACCTTTTCTTTATTAAATTTTTAAGCGGATTGTGAAAGTAAACTACCACTATAGCGCTTTGTATGAACAATTGAACAAAAGACAATTATACAGGGGATCCCGGAACTCTCTAACAATATTTTAGGGCATTGTTCCTGGGTAATTAACATACCTAAATATAACATACCTAAATATTATATTTAAATTGTCCGGATGTCCTTAGTTACTCACACAGCCGCCATTTTGTTTTTTTTTAGTTATACATTTTTTCTAAAGAATGGTTAAGCATTCGAAATTGAAACTTTGCACAAACATTTATGAAAACTAGACAAAGCTACCGAAAAATTATGACGAGTTTTCAAATTCTAAAAACAAAATGGCGTCCATTTTAAGTTTTGTTTCTTAAATAACTCAAAAACCGTTGATTTAACTAACATTTTACAAGGATAACTTTTTTAAGGCAACTTTATTGCAAATCGATTGACACCTTAATTATTAAGATTTGAGTATTAACAGAGATATGGTAGTTTTAGGCTGGTTTTATGCACCGCGACAGTCGCGAGTCGCGAGTCGCGCCACGTCTTGCGGCTGACAAAAATGTCACGCGACAGCGACACTTTTTTGTCGCGTAAACTCACATCCGGTGGTGGGGGAATTAAAGAAATCAGTCTGTTCTCAATCCAATGTTGTGTGTTGTGTTTTGATGTAGAAGTGATTATTAAGTTGTTTAAATATAGACCCTGTAGTGTTGTACACGTTAATGACAAAACCCCAGTTATTTAAACAACACATACAATTTACAGTTGGAATTGGGTCAACCCTCTTAAAAATGTCATTACACAATATAATGATGTAATTTATATTACAAATAAAGAGTAAAGAACTCATTTATATAGGGCCTACTAATTATTAACATTAATTGTAATATATAAGGCTATATTACATTGCCAGAAGATTATTGAGTTCGTGTGTGTGGTTGGCTGCACTGCTGAGTGACGTCACCGACTAGGAACGATGGCACGAAGCGGAGTGGAACGGCAGTCGGAGTTAACATGCTAATTAGTAAGTTGTCCCTAGTATCGGGTTCTTTTAATCTTACTAAGTATCAGTAATACAGTTATTACATTTGGCGACGAAATTAAATCCGCGTGTGCGTGAAATGTCTAGTATCGGTCGGATATCGGAGTTTAATCCGTACGAAGAAGATATTAGTTCGTATTTGTTACGTTTGAAACACTTTTTCAAGGCCAACGAGGTCAAGGACGTGAAGCAGGTCTCCATCTTGATTACGGTAATAGGCCCTAAAATATTAGCCGTCCTCACCGATCTTATTTCTCCTAAGAAGATTGATGAAGAATCTTACGATAATTTGAGCAAAATCTTGGAAGATCATTATTCTCCTAAACGCCTTGTGGTCGCTGAGCGTTATACTTTTTATAGTCGATGCCAGAAACAATCTGAAAGTATTGCAGAGTTCGTAGTGGCAGTGAAGCATTTGGCTTCGACTAGTGATTTTGGAACATTCTTATCGGACGCACTGAGAGACAAGTTAGTTTCGGGAATTAAAAATGAAGCAATTCGTCAAAAATTACTTTCCGAAGAAATGGATTTGAAGAAAACGTTGGCTCTTGCACTCAGGCTTGAACAGGCCAAGAAACAGACAGGTCTATTCTCGAATACAAGTGTTCAGGAAATTTCCAGGTTTCAGGTCAAGAAGAATGCACGTGTTTCCAACCGAGGTTCAAATTTTCACAGTGCGGGATCTAAATCAAATTCAAGTGATGTGAAGGGAGATATGTCTCAGATAAATAAGTGTTTTCGTTGTGGCAATCCAAAGCATAGGGCTAATAATTGCCCGTATAGTAATTACAAGTGCCATGGGTGTAAAAAGCTGGGTCATATCAGTAAGGTTTGCAGGTTCAAAAATGAAAATCCAGTGAAAAATTCCATAAAAAGTGGTAAATTTAAAATCCATCAGATGGAAGAGGAAAATAGGCCTAGGCCTAGTGATGGTTCAGATGAAGTGGAGTTTGAAAGTTTGTCTTTGTACAGTATGAATTCTGGTGATAATGTTTCTGCCTTTAAGGTAAGCCTAGAAATAGAGAATGTATCCGTATTAATGGAAATTGATACTGGCTCGGCACTAACTGTGTGCCCTCAAGAATTGTTTAACAAATATTTCCCTCATGTACAATTGAGTACTGTAGATATCAAGTTGCTTACATATTCAGGCAATGAAGTCAATGTTATTGGACAAGCTTTAGTCAAAGTAACCTACATGGACCAGACTTATCAGTTACCTATGATAGTCGTTAAGATTGATCGTACGAACCAGCCTATGCTTCTAGGCCGTAGTTGGCTACAACATATCGCTTTTGACTGGAAATCTATTTTTACGTGTAATGTTAATAGCCTATCAGGCAGTGTTAAATCTAAGGGTGGTGAACCTAACCTAACCCTAGGTAAGGCCGTTGAGCCTAAAGTCGTTTCTGGTTTGAAACAAAAGTATGCCTCTGTGTTCAAAGGAGGTCCTGGTGAAATTAAGGATGTTGAGGCACGTATTGTGTTAAAAGAGGATGCTGTGCCAAAATTTTGTAAATATCGCCCTGTTCCTTACGCGTTGCGTAAATCAGTAGAAGATGAGATTGATAGGATGATCGCTGAAGG